CTGTAATCTAGCTCCAAGCCATACAGTAAAAGAGACCACATTTAGTTATAGATCCTAATTGAATTTTTTTGACAATGCATTTGAATTCTACATTTTCTTAGAGTGTTAAAACGCGTTTTATTGCTGCTGATTATAATCAGAACGTCATGGGCTATCATTAAATTGATTGTTACTGCTTCTTCAATCAATACAATTAGTTATGCATTTGTTGTTGACGTTGTGCGAGCAGTGTTTCTTCCAGACTTTTTTCTCCGGGGGGGCACTTGAAATTTTCGGGGGGGGGGGGCGGTAGACTTTCTTTGGGGGGGGGGGGGGGCGGACACTGTTAAACGTATACATTTTCTATATATAAATTATATAAATTCCAATTCGTTCGGGGGGGCGGTAAAAAAATTTCGGGGGGCTTTGCCCCCCCCCCCCGAAGAGATGCCTGGAAGAAACTCTGTGTGCGAGAAGGCAGGGCAAATCTTCGAAATCCAAGACTACGAGCTGTTAACATCCGTTGGATTCCAGTTTGTTTTCTCTAGCTTGTTTAGTCATACCATCAACCAATCAACAAAATACCCATGTCGTATTCCAATGTGAACAATAAATATTTCTGATAACTTCTTCTTGTATGTCACTTGTGTGTCCTTACTCTAACAAACTTCGAATCCAACTATGTACCATATCACAACAGAGATCGTTCCAAAACTAGAACATAAAAGGCTGGTCTAAACATATTAGCGTTAGCTACAAACTACCCTCTAACACAGATCAGGCTTATTTTTTTTTACTGACATCACTAATCGTTCGCAAACAAAGTTAAACGCATCTTAATGGGAATTAAATTGTCGTAAAGTTTTAAGGAATGAAAATCATACAATGTAATTATTAAACCTTGTCCGGACTGTAGCATACACGCTTACACACACGCTTACACACACAAATACACTCTTACCCACACACAAGCTTATATATAAACACACTATCACACACATAATTATACACATAATTTTATATATATATATATATATATATATATATATATATATATATATATATATATATATATATATATATATATATATATATATAAGCGGGGGGGGGGCGCCAAATTGAAAGTTCGCCCCGGGCGCCGGGAAGGGTCGCTACGCCTCTGGATAACTTACAATAAAATAATGCGATGCAAATAAATGTACGGCAAGTGGTGTTTACTTTTATGGTTCTAAGAAAACACATTGGTAATGTAATTAGAATCACCACCGAAAAACACGCTTTTCCCAGGCGTCCCCGCCCAGAGAGAGCCTTTTCAGCATTCTCTATACTATAAAACCCTAAAATTTCACCCTCTGTTAACACCGAAAAACAAAAAAAAAGTGATTTTGAGAGATCATAGACTAATTAGAAAATATTATAAATAATCTTAACATTTTTCTATTTTACTTATGAACCTTAACATATAATAATCAATGTGGAAGTAATAAAAAAAAATTAACTTAAATTATTGAGAGTGAGTTGAATATTAAAAAAAAACATTTTCCCATACGTCCGCGCTCAGACAGAGCCTTTCCATTCTTCTCAAAAAGTCAAATTTCACCATCTGTTTTCATAACAACGAAAAACAAAAACAAAAAGATAGTGATTTTTGATAAATCATAGACTAATTAGAAAATAATAATAAATAATATAAATAATCTTAACGTTTTTTTTCTTTTAATTATGAACCTTAACATATAATAATCAATGCGGTAGTAATAAAAAAAAAATTAACCTTTATTATTGATGAGTTAAATATATGTTTAAATTACCTCCCTTGCAAAAAATTACCAAAAAAAAAAGTTGAATTAATTAGTTTTTTCGACCTACTTTCATAAAAATATATCCGTTTTTTCTCAGAATAAAAAAGAAAATGATATTTGACATTGATCCTTTTAATATGTTTTAGCAATGTGCGTGTATTTAATATTTTCTTTAAGTTATGCAAAAGAGTAAACACGGTGGCAATTATAAAATAGCTCTATGCCGCTATATAAACAAACCCTACTCTAATTTTTTATAATAAGACACTGAGTGCACTGAAAAGCACTGCAATGTGCGATGTTTAGTTTTATGGTTCCAAAATCTATAGCGATGACGGAAGGAAGGAAGGAAGGAAGGAAGGAAGGACTGACACACTACCAGCAGCGTTATATTATATATATATATATATATATATATATATATATATATATATATATATATAACACATTTAAACCATGCTGTAATGTAAGACACAGATACGTTTTATCGATCAGAAGGACGTTTAGTTCTGTCCTGTCACCCGTAGCTGGTAAAGAACGCGGAAACTAAGCTTTTACTTTTTTTTTTAAAGTTCTTGTTGATTCAGCACTAGACTGTACGCGAAGTGCTAGTTATCTAACATTACACGTGATATGTTTGTTTTATTTTTTTCAGTTGAGCTTTTTCCTGATTGCTTTGAAAGTTTGAAAGTTGATCTATGTGAATTCATGAATTAATCAGTTGAGATTTTACTGTGCTTTCCTTTAGCCGTAAGAGGTCAGGCTGAATATACCATCCAGGACACACAGAGGCAGCTCCTGATCAACTACACAGTACTGGTCTACCCAGAAGGTGGCAGTACTGCTGTTGTCGTCGACTCACGTGTAAGTGGTGTTGGAGTGTGTTTTACGTGAGAGGGACGATGGTTGATTGTAAGATGGACGTAGTTGAACGTATTTTGAGAGTGGGGCTGGGGGATAGTTGTTAAAAAAAATTTTGTGAACTGTTTAGTCTTATAAAATCATAGTTACCTCCCCTACACCTTCCAAAAAGTTTTAAGTGGGAAGTGGATAATAAGTGATGTAAATTTAGTGAAAGGAATATGGTTTTTTTTTTGGAAAATGTGGCAATAGGGGTGAAAAGGATTTAAAATATTTTGTTGTTTAAATAATTTTCATTTAAAGATGACCCCTTACACTCGTGTAAGTTTCCAACATGCTATAGAAATATGGTTAAGAAAGTTAAAAGCGCTTAAAATGTGTTTTTCATGATACTATAACCGTGTTCTATAATAAAATTAAGAGAGGATTTTAAAGTCTTTAATGCAGCTTTTTTTTTAACTTTGAACACCTAAGTATTTGTAAAAAAATCAAGTCAAATGCAATATTAGCCTAGTCCTCATATAATACTTAAGATGGTTTGTTAAGAGATGTATTATATGTTACATTGAAGACCTTCATATATTCATTAGACGTGAACAAATTTTTAAAGTAATTGTAATTTATCGGTTTTATCCGTCGGTAGGGAATATCGAACAACATCTCCCCTGCCTGTACGAACGTCAAATCTACACAACATCCGTTCTTGTCGCTGTCCTGTTTCCTGCAGTTGCCCAAAGACATCATCCGAGTTAAGCTCTCAGTCTATCCCCGTCTCTACCATAACACCACTGACCAGATGTACGGTACTCACTTGGTACTAAATATGTATTTAACACCAGGTATGTTTTACAAATTTCGTTTCATACTGAAGACAACATAGATTTTAGTTTATCAATGGCATGCCAAGCAGAGGCGTAGCGACCCCTCCCGGCGCCAGTTGACAAACTTCAATTTGCCCCCCCCCCCCCCACCCCATATATTTTTTAATATTTATAATTCAAAACTGCAGCTGAAACGAGCTTTTAATTTTTTTTACCCCCCCCCTGTCCCCCCCTCCCCAGTCCCAGAGGCGTAGCGACCCTTCCCGGCGCCCGGGGACAAACTTTTCGATTTGCACCCCCCCTCAAACTTTTGATTTGCACCGCCTTCGAGATTTTGATGTGCACCCCCCCCCCTCAAACTTTCAATTTTCGCGCCCCTTAAGCTCGGCGCGCGGGGACATATGTCCCACCCGCCCCCCACCCCCCTCGCTACGCTACTGGCTACGCCTCTAAATACCGAGCCTTACTGGTAAAAAATCAGTGGCTTAATTCCAAATATTTTATACTGTGATTATTTTTATTTCAATGTATCTACTACCAAAAATATAGCTTGTTTTGATGTCCACAGCTGATGATTCAGTCAAGGTATCGCACGTTGATACATCTTGTGCAGTGATGATGCTGGTGTTGTCTTGGTGGCTCTTGTAGAACTGGGGGTGTTTATACCTTTCAGGGACCTTGTACATATCTTATTCTAATGCTCGCATTATATTCATATTTATAGTAGTGAATCTTGGTGCTAAATTGTTCGTTTAAGAGACAGTTGTTGTTTAATACAATTTTTAAACAACTTATGATTGTATGTTAGGCGAATGACTTGTAAACTATGTGCACACCGCAGCCTCCATTTTAGTAAACAATTTTCATTCCAGACCTATATAAGTTTTTTTAAAGCAAAGCACCAAGGGAAATAACCTTTTATCACACTTGGCATTTAGCTTGTGTCAATAACGTCCTCTTAGTTTTTTAGCCATAGACCAGGGGTCGGCAACCTGCGGCTCGTGAGCCGCATGCGGCTCTACTGATATCAAGATGCGGCTCTCCAGCTCCTTGAACAAATACTAATAATCTTAATAAAAATTAATACTAATAGTTTCGCTGTCTGTCTATGTATCTCGTATCTATCTATCTGTCTGACAAGAACGCTCTAGAGAAAACACAAGCAAAATAAAAACCTTCACAGTAATTCGAAAAACGAAGTATGACGTTGACAGATTTAGCATAGAGTAGAACATAATCTCAAACCAGAGAGTGCACACAGTAATATGACGTCATTGATTCTCGCGTAAACATTGATTAAAAAGGAAATGTCTAATCTAAATGGTTTGCGTGAAGAGTTTCTTGCATACAATTCTTCGGGTAGGGGCGAAGCCCCACCCCCCGCGTAAGAACGTCTGAGCCCCCCCCCTCCCCAACTCAAAAGAAATTTCTTCATCGATACTCTACATTAAAATTACCGCCTAATTAATGTGTCTAATCTAAAAAGTGGTTTTCTCGCAATTTCTTTAGTGCAATTATTCGCGTAGTGGCTAACCGCGACACCAGTGTTTCTTTAAGATTTTTTCCTCCCCGGAGAGGGGTGGGGGTACTTGAAATTTTCGCGGGCGGGGGTAGAATTTTCGGGGAATGGCGGACACTGGAAAAAGTATATAATTATATTTGGTTGAATGGGACGGTAGACATGTTTTTTGGGGGGGATGGGGGTGGGTGTGTTGGGGTGGGGGTGGGTGGGGGTGGTGTGTGGGGGTATGGGGTGGTGTGTGTGGGGGGTGGGTTGGTTTTAGTTTGGAGAAAAGAGACAGCACTATCAACCTAGCGCCCGGTGTATCCTTCCTCAACGCGCCATTTTTCTTGTTAATACTAATAGTTTCGCTGTCTGTCTATGTATCTATCTATCTGTCTGACTAGAACGCTCTAGAAAAAACACAAGCAAAATAAAAACCTTCACAGTAATTCGAAAAACGAAGTATGACGCGGTCACTGACGTCATTGATTCTCGCGTAAACATTGAATAAAAAGGAAATGTTGTCTAATCTAAATGGTTTGCGTGAAGAGTTTCTTGCATACAATTCTTCGGGTAGGGGCGAAGCCCCACCCCCCGCGTAAGAACGTCTGAGCCCCCCCCCCCCCCAACTCAAAAGTAATTTCTTCATCGATGCTCTAAAATAAAATTACCGCCTAATTAATGTGTCTAATCTAAAAAGTGGTTTTCTTGCAATTTCTTTAATGCAATTCTTCGGGTGTGGCTAAGCGCGCCACCAGTGTTTCTTTCAGACTTTTTCCTCCCCGGAGAGGGGTGGGGGTACTTGAAATTTTCGGGGGCGGGGGTAGAATTTTCGGGGAGGGGGCGGACACTGGAAAAAGTATATAATTATATTTTGTTGAATGAGACGGTAGACATGTTTTTTGGGGGGTGGGTGGGTGGTGGGGGGTGATGTGTGTGGGGGGTGGGCTGGTTTTAGTTTAGAGAAAAGAGACAGCACTATCAACCTAGCGCCCGGTGTATCCTTCCTCAACGGGCCATTTTTCTCGTATAAAATATTTGAAATAAAAAAAACTGTTAGTGGCTCTTTAAAAACCAGGAAAATTTTGAAAATTGTAACTCTTGGCTCTTCTGCTTCAAAAGGTTGCCGACCCCTGCCATAGACTATACATAAACAGCCTAACGTAGATTTATTTTATTATTTTATTATTTTTTTTTTACTTTGTATCAACAAATATTTTAGATAAGACAGCTTTAGGAACAGTTTAGGAACAGGTATAAATAATAAACTTGATTTGCTAATCCACAGTAGAAAAGAAACACTAATACTTGATCAGCTAAATCCAAACAGAAAAAACACACAGACGATATTTATAATGTGATAACAATTATCACTTTGATTACTTGACTTGACTTTAGATAACTTTCAATAACTTGACGTACTTGCTTGATATACCAGCGTAGTTACTTGCAAACAGTGGTAGACCACTTCAAAAACGTTGAAAACTGCTTACAATAATACTGTGACAATTCTTGATCACTTGTGGTAACACTGTAACTTCGTTGACGATTTCTGACTTCAATATAATTTACCAATGTAACAACATCAGTGTAACAACTTGTAGACTTGATAATAACTTCAATTTAACATCACGTAGACCAATGTACAGCTTTTCTGGTAAATCAACACTTGACTTGCAGCTTCTCACAATAATACTGTAACATCATATGTATTGTAGCAACATCAATTTATTGCCCCCACTTCTGACACCATATGTAACACCAATTCTTCAACCACTTCTGACACCATATGTAACACCATTCAATATACTCACACGAGCAACAGTAGTTGTGAAACTATAACTTTATTTACACTTTATACACTACAGTGAAATGATGAATCCATAGTAAATCCATAGATAAACAACTAGTATAATTTAGTATGAGTACAGTCACGAATCAAAGTGACGTAGTGACATCCTACATTCACAATCACAGTCCAAGCGCAAGCCCCCGTTCACCTTTCGCTCTACCTTTTATACGGTCCATTCTCTCCCCTTACGTACATGAGCGATCTTACCCCAAAAAGCATGGGAAAATACATGACGAGTTGCTCAGACAGTCCTTCCGCTAGCCAGGTACTCTACATTCATGCAACTTCATGTAAAACACAATATAATATAAACATACCTAATTATAGTCTGTGACAGGTTATATAATTATTTATACAAAATTTAGAATTACATAAATTGGAATATATTCAATAAAGAAAAATATAGAGTAAATATTACTTCAATGATTCAAATTATAATTGTACATTTAAAATGTTGGTGTTTATTAGTGGTTAGTATTGTTGTACGGGTAAAATAAAGGATAAGAATTTAGCCATCATATTTAAAAAAAACCGAAACAAAGCTAGCCATAACACCTTGTACAAGATAATAAATATGCTATGGAGATTCATGACATCAATTGTTTCCATGTAGTTTTTCTTCCATTGTGTGAAATGTCTAGATAGCATATTAATCATTAGTAACACTTTGTATGACAAATAATACTATGAAAAGTATTATATCCTGTATGACAAACATTAATGGTGTTTTCAGCCTACACAATGTGGTATTAGTAAAAAAGCAATACTTGTATATATAGATAATTAAAGATCCTTGTGAAAAAAGAATTTAATAACCAACAACTCATTCAAGTCCTGAGTGAAAATTTGTGTGTGTAGATAAACTAGACTTACGAGCAAACTTTTTATGACAAATGTCACATTCTTATGGTCTCTCTGGTAAATGAATTTTTTTATGTCTAGATAAACTATCTTTATAATTAAATTTTTTGTGACACACATTACATTCATATGGTCTCTCTGGTAAATGAATATTTTTATGATTTGATAAAACACTTTTTTGATTAAATTTTTTGTGACACACATCACATTCATATGGTCTATCTGGTAAATGTATATTTTTATGTGTAGATAAACTATCTTTATAATTAAATTTTTTGTGACACACATCACATTCATATGGTCTCTCTGGTAAATGAATATTTTTATGTGCAGATAAATAACTTTTATTATTAAATTTTTTGTGACACACATTACATTCATATGGTCTCTCTGGTAAATGAATATTTTTATGATTTGATAAAGCACTTTTTTGATTAAATTTTTTGTGACACACATCACATTCATATGGTCTATCTGGTAAATGTATATTTTTATGTGTAGATAAATTATCATTACAATTAAATTTTTTATGACACACATCACATTCATATGGTCTCTCTGTTAAATGAATATTTCTATGCGCTGATAAATTACTTTTATGCTTAAATTTTTCGTGACACACATAACATTCATATGGTTTCTCTGGTAAATGAATATTTTTATGTCTAGCTAAAAGATTTTGTTGATTAAATTTTTTGTGACACACATCACATTCATATGGTCTATCTGGTAAATGTATATTTTTATGTGTAGATAAATTAGCATTACAATTAAATTTTTTATGACACACATCACATTCATATGGTCTTTCTGGTAAATGAATATTTTTATGTATAGATAATCTAGATTTAAGGGCAAAACTTTTATGACATACATCGCATTTATGTGGTCTCTCTGGTAAATGAATACTTTTATGATTTGATAAAACACATTTTTGATTAAATTTTTTGTGACACACATCACATTCATATGGTCTATCTGATAGATGAATATTTTTATGTTCTGATAAATTATGTTTACGCCTAAATTTTTTATGGCACACATCACATTCATATGGTTTATTAATTCCAGAATGAATATTTGTGTGTGTGGATAAACTAGACTTTGTAGTGAACTTTTTAGACAAACTAGACTTGTTGTATACCTGTTCTAGGTTTATTTTGTTAATTTGTTCACCCTGACTGATCATAACAACTTCTTGCTGATGAAAATCATGACCATATGGATTCACCCTTATGTGAATGTTTATGTGTTGTTTAACATGATCAAAATGGAAAAATCTTTGACAACACATATCACACTTGTATGTCTTCAGTCCCTTATTGCTAATCAGATATTCTGTAGGGAGATTATCAATAAATTTTGAATGCAATAACTTGAGTTCTTTTAATTCATATTGAAGATCTGATTTTAAAACTGCAAAATTTTCTTTAAAATCAGTTGAATCTGGTGGGGAAGAAAGTTGTTGCTGTGCTTTAAAACCATTTTGTTGTTCACTCTCCAAAGATGAAATTGTTAATATCTCAGGTTTTATATCTTCAAAAATTGAAAATGCTGTTGATACATTTGGTTTCATGTCTTCAGATGATGTTGGGTTATCTTGTTTCATCTCTTCTAAATTAAACAAAGGCTTTGTTTTATCAAGATTTTTATCTTCTAAAGCTAAAAATGGTATTGTTTCCTCCAAGTATTTGTCTTTAACAGTTGAAAATTGTGTTGATACATTTTGCTTTATATCTTCATAATTTGAAAAGAGTGTTGATATATTTGTTTGTACTCCTTCTGATGTTTTATCTGATTTCATGTCCATAAATGTTATGATTTCGTCACTCAATTCCTGTTTAACCATAATTGAACTCTCCCAAACTATACAATTAGTGTCCTTTGTGTTTTCCATAGCTTTAGATTCATGAATTATTGCAGAAAAAACTGAAAAAAAAATAATCTTGATTAGAAAACCAAATTAAAAAAAGTATTTGAAAATATATAGGAGGATTTAAGTTTTGAAAGCTACATAAATGTTTCAAAGTTTCATGTAACTGTTTTTAAATAAATTTATTAAAATTTTTTAGTAATAAATAAAGACTAGATCTAGCAATGTTTACAGCCAATGCAACCAAGCTCATTTATTTTAGCAATCATCTTGTTTACATTTTTTGACTAAATTATAATTAGAGATTCAGGGGAAACCACTCTAATATACAGGTGGCCGCTGTTTATATAGCGAATCTTGCTCGCAAACACTGCTGTTTAAGGTTAATTTCTAACCTATATTGATATATTTAGCCATTGCTTTATTATTTAGTTATCTATAATATTTGACAAAAATATATCATATTATACATCTATTAAAGCCTAAACAATGAGGCAACTTTTTTCACATTACCAGCCTCTGAGGATTTTACACACCTAAAACGATAGATTACCTCTAGATCTATATTAATCCTAATATATAAAAGTCCATTTGCGCACTTCTCGCTCTCTCTCTCTCTGTCCGCAAGTTTTTTTAGGCGATTGTGATCAGAATGTTCCGCTAAATATGGAGAACTTGTAGATAGTGGCTTTTGTTGAAAATAATATATATGGTGGATGTTATAAATGTATTTATTGTATAATCTAAATTATTTAAAGAAGGGAAATACAATTCAAGGCATATTCAAATGTAGAAACGCAATTTTAATAATGCAACCAGAAAATCATTTATTGTTGTGAAAAGAATGAAATAAACAATGACTTCACAAGTGACATCTTTAAACTTTAGAAAGAACACAAAACAGTTCATAACTAATGGCATCATCTTCCAATTTTAGAAAATAAAGAAATGAACTATTTCATTCAAATTTGATTTAGATCTATAGATATATAGATGTATATACTCTGAGTGTATATAGTATTACAAATACTGGTACAAATGTGTTTTATTGTCCTTCGTGTCCCACACCTGAACAGGGACAGCGTGCTAACCCCCCCCCCCCTCCACCCCTCTCCCGTCTCACAACTGAACTGGGATGACCCCGCCTACCTAGAGAAGTGGTCGCCTGGCATTTGACCTGGGATGCAAATGTGGGAAACTTGTAATTGGATATCTTATTGTATTCCAGGTTAAGCCAGGGCATAGACCCAAGCTGGGTGGTTAAAGGGCCAGAGAGATAGGATAGTTGAACTTTAGCTTCGCTAGGAAATATTTTTCTTTCACACTACCAAAAATAATGTTAGATTTAATGTGTGGACGTCCACATTGGGCCTACCCCCCCTCCCCCTGTCCACACGCGTCCACAAAAGTCATTTTTTTCGGACCCCCCCCCCCCCCCCGTGGACGTCATAAATGGATGACCCCTAAAGCTACCAGCTTAAAAAAACATTTCTACATCGGACTGTGTTTAAAAATCCACTATGCTATATCAGACCCTCCCTTGGCTTGGACGCGTTTTCACAAATTTAATACCCAAGTACGTCTGTCTAGTTCAGGTGGGGGATAATCCACTAACGGCTTCCATAGCCTAAAAACCCACACCGCATCCCCACATTTCATTACATCATTATGGGCTCAATAACTCTATAGATAGCTCTACTATTAACTGAAATAAAACTGGCTCTACATGTGCTCCCAATTACTTTAAACTTTAAAGAAAGCTCTACTCAGAGTTAAAAACTTTAACTTTAACACTACTTAAAGCATGCTCCTCCTATTTGTAAAAATCAATATGGGCGCAATTATTCTGAATGATATCATTACAATGTATCGAAAACAATATGTTGATTCATATTCTTAAGATTGTCGCTACAGTGTATCAAAAACATTATATGGGCATTCTTATTCTTAAGTATGCTTATATAATGCATGAAAAAAAAATATATACTAATGGCTGCCAGTGGCTTAGCTACCATAAAGCTATAGTAAGCAAGGCATAGGGGCCCAAGGCAAATAGGGGCCATTTTCCTCCTTTTAAAAAGTTAAAACTTTTACATTGGAATTTTGATATTTATTTTATATAAATAATTTTTAAAAAATTAATGAAATCAAGTTTTTTTTTCTACTGTAGAAATAATTTAATTTAAAAAAGGCTCCAAGTCCTTTCTTAGTGAACAGGCAGTGGCATTCAGTGTGGGGGAGGGCGGGCGACTAACATTAACATTGTTAATTTTTGCATAGGGGACCGAAAATCCTAGCTACGCCACTGAATGCTGCCCATACAATTTAACAAAAAACAAGTTAATTAAAAAAGTCTAGTGACATTTGTGCGCAATTTCCTTATGTTATCTAAAAATAGCTGTGACGTATAATGTTGGGGTGCGTTCAAGCTAGAAGAACAATCGGTTTGTAGGTGTTTATGTAATTTTAAAATTTGTGACCGAACGAGAGGATATTTTTGAAAACTTTCTTCGGCAATATTGTTCTAAATTATGACAGAAATCGATTGGTACATGTTTCAAGTCGCTAAGTGGCCTGGTTGCCGAGATATGGGCCAAAAACTGATTTTTTTCGAGGTTTTTTGGCTTTTCCGGGAAATACATGAAAGAAACCCGGAATTTTTATAGCCTATGCTCATTCTTGTAACTTGCTTAACATAATTGCTTTTGGAACTAGTCATCGATATTGCTTCGTTGAGGAGGAGATACGACTTAAAGCCCGGACACACATTCATCCATACATTCATCCATCCATCCATTCCCAGAAATGACGAGTTAATAAACGCAATTCTCCAGAATGGAAATTGCGCTAAAAAGTTATTACACTGCAAATGGCCATATATTTCACCAAAGATGCCCCAAAAATTTATAATAATAATATGGGCATAATTACCCTTTGGATTCCCTTAAAATGGATAATAATGAAGAAGTACATTAAAAAATAGCTTTAGAGATGCCCCCAATGTTAACAACGATGATTGGTGTAATTACTGTTGCATGTCCTTCGAGTGTAATACATGAATATAAGCGTAATTACTTTCAAGATGCCCCTACAATATATAAAATGAAGATGGGCATACTTACTGAACTGTATGGATGCCTTTAAAATGTATTATAAAGTGAAGTGGGCATATTAGTAAATGTTCATAAGATATATTATAATGAATATGCGAATAATTACTTTAAAGATGCCCCTATAGTGTATAAAAATAAATATGATTTAATTACTCGACGGATGTCCTTGAAAATGAGTATAACGAATACGCGCATATTACTTTAAAGATGCCCTAATACAGTGCATGGGAATAACTTGGTTACAAGTACTCTAAACGATGCCCCTACACTATACTAAATAAATATGACACACATTTATTAATGGAATGTCATTGACTTCCGTAGGACTACCCTTCACTGATGCCCGCTGTTTCTATGTAAGTTTTGCCATACGGACAGTGTAATGTTAAAACGGCTGACAGACGATTGAGTGTTACAATTTTTTTAGTGAGATAGCAAAACATATGGAAAGTTACGATGACACCATGACACGACATATCACAACAGTTTTTAAATTGCTAAAAAAAAAAAAAAAAAAAATGTAATTAATTAATTAATTAACATTTTTTTTACCTCCGCTGGATGCCCCCCAGTGGTGGATGCCCGGGGCCTGGGCCCCGTCCGCCCCCCCCCCCCCCTCTGCACGCCACTGCCAATAATAATTTATTAGGCCTAATAATAATAAATAATATTATGGCTCAAATGGACACCAGTGAGTTGACAAACAATCGACGAAAATCCTTCCATAATGTTGTTGACATGGAATACAAATGTGCTTTTTTAGATTTATTTTAGGACCGTAAAAATAATAAAAGGTAGGCCTAAAATTTTATTAAAAAGCCTAAAATTAATTCAGAAATTTAATATTTTTTTTATCAATGCTATACAAGTTGCAGATCCAGAGAACTTGAAAATAATGTGTTGAGTTTAAGGCTACATTTCTATTTATCTTCATCAAGCCTAAGTTATAACCCGATGTTTCACTTTCTTAAGACAAACACTGATTAATATTAATAGCCTAAGTATTGGTAGCCGTTATTTTAAATGTGCCGGATTTTTAGCTATTTGGTTATTTCTTTGCTTTGTCACTATGACTAGATCTAGTTTTGACCAATAGGGCTAACAACTAGATCTAGATCTAAACTAGAATTCTAGATCTAGATCTAAACTAGAATTCTAGATCTAGATCTAAACTAGAATTCTAGATCTAGATCTAAACTAGAATTCTAGATCTAGATCTAAACTAGAATTCTAGATCTAGATCTAAACTAGAATTCTAGATCTAGATCTAAACTAGAATTCTAGATCTAGATCTAAACTAGAATTCTAGATCTAGATCTAAACTAGAATTCTAGATCTAGATCTAAACTAGAATTCTAGATCTAGATCTAAACTAGAATTCTAGATCTAGATCTAAACTAGAATTCTAGATCTAGATCTAAACTAGAATTCTAGATCTAGATCTAAACTAGAATTCTAGATCTAGATCTAAACTAGAATTCTAGATCTAGATCTAAACTAGAATTCTAGATCTAGATCTAGAATTCTAGATCTAGATCTAAACTAGAATTCTAGATCTAGATCTAAACTAGAATTCTAGATCTAGATCTAAACTAGAATTCTAGATCTAGATCTAAACTAGAATTCTAGATCTAGATCTAAACTAGAATTCTAGATCTAGATCTAAACTAGAATTCTAGATCTAGTCTAGATCTAAACTAGAATTCTAGATCTAGATCTAAACTAGAATTCTAGATCTAGATCTAAACTAGAATTCTAGATCTAGATCTAACTATTTTATAAAATATTTTTCTCCAACATGTTAAACATCAATTAGTTATTTAAGTTATTAGTTATTAGTTTAGTATTAGTATTACTATTATTAGGCCTATGGCTAGCTATGTAATACATAGATTCTAGTGATTAGTATGTATTGACTTGTTCACGTGTGTGTTGTTATTTTAAATGTGCTGGATTTTTAGCTATTTGGTTATTTCTTTGATTTGCCACTAGCTTTGACCAATAGGGCTAACAACTAGATATAGATCTAGATCTAGAATTCTTGATCTAGATTCTAGATTCTCTCTGGCTCTATTTTTAACTATTTTTAGGATTTTTTTAGGGCCTAAAATTTTTCGGCCTATAAAATTTTTTTCTCCAAAATGATTAACACAAAATAGGCCTATTATGGCTATGCGGCTATTGACTTGTTCACGTGTATAAGCTTTAGTAACATTAGACCTTTCTTATCTGATGTTGTAATTCGTAAATGATCTTAAAACACTCCTAAAATGAACTTTTTTGCGATGTTTGTCGTTTGAGAATCAAAACTTGGGTCCCCATCTTGAATATATTTTAATAATATTTTTAGAGTAATCTCCCTTGAAGACAAGAGTTCCCAAACTAGGGCCTACACCGCTTTTACATTTACGACATGTAGGTTATACTAGGCCTATACATTTCTAGTTTTTTTTTTTTTTTATCTGGTTAGAGTAGGGCTTATGACGCACATCCCCCCCCCCCCCCCATCGTTTTTACAGTCAGTTGATTAAGTGTGATCCCACGAGCACGTTCTGGTGGGCCTAAAGATTTATTCACGCCAGACTGAAACAGAAAATATGTTTACACATTTTGAGTAAAATAAGTTTCTTTTCTAAGCGATCTGTGTTATCTCCTCACCAGAGGCGTAGCGACCCTTCCCGGCGCCCGGGAACAACCTTTCGATTTGCACCCCCCCCCCTCAAACTTTCGATTTGCACCCCTCCTCGAGATTTTGATTTGCACCCACCCCCCCTAGAACTTTCAATTTTCCAACCCATTTTGGCGCCCCCTAAGCTCGGCGCCCGGGGACATATGTCCCCCTCGCCCCACCCCCCTTGCTACGCTACTGCTCCTCACCAATCCAGTGTAAATCCTTGCAATTTTATATAGCGAAAAAAGCACCCACCCTCTTTTACTATCTTGATATAAGTCACTACATTTTTTACGGTTAAAAAATCGTACAATACGCTTTAATACGATTGGTTTTTTTTTCATAAGTGGTAACGTTTGTCAACTAAGCAATCTACTGTTACACAATACGCGTTGATATAATTAGTTTATTTCTAGGTGTTAAAACCAATCCAGTACAAATACTTGCGATTTTTGTTCGGGAAAATGAATGCTCGGTATCGGATTAAGTAGGCCTATAGTGCTGCTTGGCATATGCTAAAGTATACTGCTGTTCGGCATAGGCTAAAGTATACTGCTGTTCGGCATAGGCTAAAGTATACTGCTGTTCGGCATAGGCTAAAGTGCAGTTCTGTTCGCCATAGGCAACACATTGCCAATAACGTTTAAGAATAATCGAATGGAAAAAAAACACAATCGAAAGTAAACTGCTAAACTTTCTCCAATATTCGTACATGACATCAATAATTGGGATGGCAATACCAGTAGAGCCGGGCGACAGAATTATAGAAGTTTAACACAGTCGCAAATTTTTTTCAAAAAACCACAAAAAGGTGAAACAGAAAGCTGTTGTATAAAAATGCGATATACAGGTATCAAACTATGAAAGAATGGAAATGCAGGTAGAATAACACTGTTGGTGACTGAAAATTACTCAAACTTTGACAGAAACCTAGGTATCTATATATATATCTATATATATATATCTATATATATATATATATATATATATATATACATATACATATACGTATATATATATATATATATATATATATATATATATATATATATATATATACATATACATATACGTATATATATATATATATATATATATATATATATATATATATATATATATATATATATATATATATATATATATATATATATATATATATATATATATATATATATATATATATATATATATATATATATATAGATATATAGATATATAGATATATATGTATATGTATATGTATATATATATATATATATATATATATATATATATATATATATATATATATATATATATATATATATATATATATATATATATATATATATATATATATATATATATAATTCTCTTCTGGGAGCCGTTAGAAAACAAGCTGCAAGCGCCTCCTTGCAGTCCCCTCTCTTTCTCTCTATCACTATCACTACCACCCCCCACCCCACCCCCACATTGTCTGGTGAGCTGTGGTCACGCTGTTTACATTTTACAATCATAGAGACGGGTTTGGCGACGGCTATTAGTGGAGGTAACTAAGAGGAGGCTGCTTTCACGTGGGGGGGAGGGGGTAGTGTTTTTAAGCAAATATTTTCAGTGGCAGCATAGGTACTGTCGAATTCACAAATTATAAATTACTGAAAAGTAGAAAAAAAAACAACTAAATAGCGGCGTATGATACGCAGCGGGTCGGCTCGTATATATATAATTCTCTATTTGGGCCTATGCGGGACACCACAACCACATATGCATGCCGACCCACTCTTCAGACATGCGCAACAGACTATGTCGATATCACCCCCACCCCCACTAGTCTGGTGAGCTGTGGTTCACCCCGAATGTTTACAATCGTAGAGCCGGGTCGAATTAGTAAAAGCTATTAAGGGCAGATAGTTTAGTTTTTACACGATTTGAAGCTAAGGGGAGGGAAAAAAGTTCTGTTTGATCTTTTCATTGTCGTCAGGGACGTCTGCTTTCACGTGGGTGAGGGAGTGGGAGGATAATTGGCCTTCACGAGCTACTGATAGTGTTTAAAACCGAAATATTTTCAGTCGCAGCATTGGTAGTGTCGAATTCACAAATTATGATTGGCTGAAAAGTAGAAAATAAAACAACTAAATCACGGCGTAAGCTACGCTGCCGTCGACTCGCTTATTCTATTACTTACGTATCAAATTTCAACACCTTAAGTGATGCAGTGCAAGTGTTTTTGCCTTAACACATATCCACAGAGATAATCATCGACACAGAGACAAGATTGCAAATCTGGGTTTATCTAAGGAAGATGTTCAAATTTTAACATTTTTTACCCGATTACAAAATTTTAATTCAAACCTTGTATACATGAAAGTACAAACATATTTTAAACATCAACTGATCGAGGAATAAAAAACAATATTTAACTGCAACAAGTTCGAAATGTATATATGTTATATATGTAAGAATGTGATAGAGAGAGATAGCAATATACAATAAATACAATGAAAGTAAACATTAAAAATAAATTAATTCATGCAAAAATTTCCAAATTTGAAGCAAACAATCAACTGCAAGAAAAAAATATGCAGTTTTTTTGCATTTGAGTTTGACAGAATAGATTATAATGAAAACATGAAATATGACGAGTGAATTTTACAAAAATTAAACAATATTACATTTTTAAATAAAATAACCCATAGCAATGCTAGACTTGACCATTAGAACAAAAGCGTACGAAGTTTTTGTCTAATGACGTAATCCATCTCCCATTTATAGACCATAATAACGTTCTCATCCAACACAGCACTGAGCAGCTCTTCAGGTAAATGATGCAGGTGCTGTTTGTGGACCATGACGACGATTCTAGACGGGTTGGCAGGTGTTTGGGAGAAGATGGCGCACCTGATGGTAAACCACATCCAGCCGTCTGCTCTGAGAAACGTTTCGTTGGACACCAGGACAAACCTCCAGCTCGAGTTGAGCGCATCAACCAACCCGCGCGCCACGTCACACGTAGGTAAAAGGTCACGGTCACGTACAAACGCCTTCAGGCCTAGTGTCGTCTCCACATACGGCAATAGCAGGTCACATGCGAACTTGTAATCTTGGTCAGCGTATCCGATAAACACGCCCATCTTGTAATCGTTCGGCTTGTGGTACTTAAAAGTACCGAAAAGATTCATCACATATGCCTTGATATAATTATAATTTTTATTGAATATAAAAACTGTTAAAAATCCTATTCCGGAAACACAGAATATCACCATGCTCAAAGAAAAATAAAACTCCCCCACACAGTTTTGCCAGAGTGTATCGAGATTCTTATAGCGGAGCGTGTGTGTGAGCATCCCGTCTTTATCCATGCACGTGTAGTTCCTGTTGTTATCCAGCGTCACGTGCGTGTTTTGCAGCCAGTGAAGAAATTGAATGTTGCTACACTGGCAAGAAAATACGTTACCAGCCAGCTTCAGGTAAAAGAATCCATTCCGGAGAACTAGCTCGTCAAGCTGTTGCTGTACACCCTTGTCTATTGATGTTAAAGCATTGTCACTCATGTCAAGAATGGTAAGATTTGGGGTGTGGTGTAAATTAAATGGGAAGTAAAGAAATCGATTATTTGCAAGGTTTACGGCTTTTAAGTTAGAGTTATATTTAAAGAGATCGGGTGAGGGCAGGTTAAGTGCGTTGGATGAGATGTCGATCCATTGTAAGTTTTTCAGATGTTCTAGGTACCTGCCACCCTTTGAGCTCATCATAGAAACTACTAGATTACACGTTGCCATAGCAACCTTCTCCAGCAGTTGGGAAGGCATCAAAAAATGTTTTTGGAATTAATCCCATATCATTAGCAGAAAATATAGCAGTTTTTATAGAAGGGAATCCGGATATTTTGAATTTAAAATTATACAGTCCACAATCTGATAAATCCAATTAATCGATGTTGTTAGTGCCCCATAACACTGTGCATAATTCAAAACCGTATTTGTCTATCAGTCTACGAATGCTAACCTGTTTTAGTGAGGATGAGACTCTGAGACCAAGACAACCGAAATTTTGATCGTTATCGTACACCGAATGTGTTTGTGTTGATATTTTATTTTCGTGAGAGCTGTTTTTTATTTGCTGTTTAGAATTAAGTGATTTTTTAATAAAATTATTTTCAGGATTTTCCCAGAACGTTTGCAAGTTAAATCTTGACCTGAAGGTGTCGGAGAGTTCAATACGCTCTAAATTCCGGAACCTTAGAAGCTGGAAGTCTGCAAACATCTGACCAATAAGCGGATTGTCTCCCAGATCTAGCACTTTGAGGCAGCGATTCCAAACAAGGCTATGCAGAGCGTTGACGTAAATCAGCTGTACGAAGCTAGATTTTAATGTAAATTCTTCAACACAAATTTGTGTCAGCGAAGACGTAATGTTTTTGCTTAAATAACTGTCGCTATTAATTACATTAATATCTAGTCTTGTTCGGCTGATTGCTATGTCTTGCAAGGTGATAATTTTCATCGTTCTTCCAACAAGACACTCGAACCATTTCATAGCCGGTTTGACCCCTACTGGCACTGTCATCACCCGTAATATCTCTAATTTATCCAGCTGACAGAAGCTGTTAGGACTTATGGAAAACATGTCGAAAAAACTTGTTAAGACGAGCTCTCGTATATGTGGTACCATAACAAAACTG